ACTTATCGATGGTGGGACACACGGCGAAGGTCGAATTCTGGACCGTTGTGTGGATGGTTGGAGTTGTCCAATTAAGTGGCGAGGGATGCGTGGTTGGTGGAAATGGTAGGCGACCGACCCAGGTCGACTGTTGCATGGTTGCTTCCCTCGGAGGAGGATAAGCAGGACGCGTAGAGCTTCCAGAAGGTCGACCGTTTCACGCGGATGCCTTCCCTAAATAATTTATAATAAAATCCATCCCACGTGTCTGTCACTGTTCTATGATAAGATTGATCGCGTTGGTAGAAATCACAAGATTGGAATACATGCACAATGCTGTCTTCTGACGAAAGCCGCCTGGGCCCCGGGAGATTAGCTACGTGAAGTCACGCATGAGGTCATTGGTTTCGCCAATTAATGGGCCGGGCCGGGTTTTGCCAGACCATATCCATATTGAGATTTACAAGGCACCGGCCCGTCGAGGGATGCGTACGAGGACCGGGGGTGAGCTTCTGGTGACGGCAGGTGAGAGAGTAAGGAAACTCAATCTCAAGAAAGTAGGCTGTCAGGGAAAGAGTAAGGAAACTCAAATCTCAAGAAAGAAGGCTGTCAGGTAAACTTATTGAACGATGATGTAGCAGCCTTCACAACGAGGCATTAAATGATAAGATGTTTGTTGTGTTGGTTTACAGACGGCAGCAATCAGTGGACGATCAATTGACATGTTCTAAAATTCCACACTGACACACACATGGAAATCAGGAGAGGAAGCACGAGGATACAAAAGCTGGATGCACTCTGTTGGCAAATATCACCTGCAGCGAAGTCATCTATTCTAATGACCATACTTCTGGAATTCCCACTCGCTGTTGTCTGGAGATGTATTAAGAGTTTTTTGTCAATGCAAGACTACGGTAGTAAAATAAAAATAAAAATAAAAATTTTGAGAGGAATTGGTAGTAAAAGATTAATTACCCAGAGGGCAAACTTGACGAGTCTTGAGCCACCGACTGATACAATGGAAATGGAAGGCATGATTGCAGACACCTGTTTGGAGCAAAGCATGCCGCGGCCGTCAAGAAAGAACACAAAGTTAAACCATTGAAATAAATCAGTGGACAAAATTAAATTCAGTAGCATCTATTCAGGTGCTAAAGATGATCATCAAAACAAACTTGTTGTCTTTGTATCCAATTTAAGGGTATCCATTACCGTGCAAAGACAGGGTATCCATGATCTTTCTTTACTAATGGATGTTAAAGACAGGTGGATGAGCATTTTAAGTTTTAAAACAAAAACACAACTATCCATTCACCATAACTCACTGGTTCCATGGCCCTACTACTGCCATTTCACAATGTTCACAGAAAAAGTGTTCCTTGAAATATATAGAAAGTATTAAAAATCTTTGATAGTACACGTTGTTCATTGTTGTTGTTGATGATGATGATGTTCAAAAGACCATGATAAATGAAAGTATTTTCAACAGCAGCAGATAATGTGTCACTGATAATGACTCTCCAACATGTCCTGAAGTTCATATAATGGTTATATGTGAATTCAACTCATGCATACAAAAAGTTAAATAAAACAGATAAAATGATCAAGATTGTTTCTCCATCTCGTGGATAACATTTTGTAGGATAGGCCTATTATTATGATCCAAATCCTATCTAATTCAAGGCCTACTTGGCCTGGAACCATCACGGTTGGACCATGTTGAAAATCTACAAGGGACAGTTTTAGCCAAGTACAAGCTTAACAAAATTACTTACAATGCTGACTTGATCTTTATTTATAATACAAATGATCACATGATCTCTTCTTCATACCAAAAGACAACACTGGCAGCTCAAGACTCATCCTAAAAGATTATATGAAAGTCGATGCCTAACGCCTAACTTGGATTGGCATTAATCTTTCAAGAACACCGCATCACTTTGCACAAGCTCATTGGTAGCTCTAGATATCTGATCAAAACCAACCACCAGTCGGCACCATCTGTTTACATGACGGTCCTAGCCAGCCATGCTCCAGATGTGGTAGCCTATCACCCAGCTTGTTGGAACATGCAATGACGGAATAAAGTTTCGTAACTGGAAAATATCAAACTGCATCTAGATCGGATTGATCTCCTAGTCAAAAGGAGATCCGATGAAATCAGACTTGAGAGGATCGACCTCATCTAGCTAGGGCATCCAAGTCATACCCAGATATTTTTGTTAGTATTTCTAAAAGTCATTTTGGAAATCTCTAGACTCATAATTAGATAAAAGTCCAAACTAACCGACGACAAAGAAAAAATTGAAATTAATCCGTGAACAGCAAGAAACATAACCAACCATCTATAACTCTATTCACATAAACTTTCACCTTGGAAACAATTCCAACTTTTCCCAACATAAAAATTGACTCATAAACTAATTCCCAAAAGAATCTATATGTTGTGAACACAAAAATGTCTTCAATTTCAAGTGTGCTGTGAATTGTTGAGAAGGCCCATAACCAGCACCTATCATTTTACAAATCCAATAACCTATTTTGAATTGAAAGAAGAGGCAACGAAAGAAAGTAAGGAGTGAAATATACTTTGAGAATGGTTATAACAGTTAAACAAGTGGAAAGAACGTAGTTTCCTTTGGTCCAGAAACAAACTTTCAAAGAGAAGTGGAGAGAAATTAAAATCATGTAATCAGGAAAACCCCATTATCTTTCCACAGAAGTGGAAAGTTGAAGAATTTTCATTCATCATTCAAATTTAGAGTTCAAATTTCCTATTATAGTAGCCAATAATTTTAAAAATTGAACTACATATTAAGTTGCAAAGCCCCTATCCTCCTATTAATTTTGTCTAATCCAACTGATCAAATCCGGCACCAAATAATCGATCATTTCTGCAATCAAAATTTTCAAATCCATATGACTATTCAGAAGTAAAAAAGAAATTGTAACCTTGTGGCTCTTGCAACAAAAGGAATCTTCCCTATAAGAAAAAAGCAAGATGACCAAACTTGAAAATGACATGCCATCATGGATCTGGGAGTTCAACAAAAGATTGACTCACATAAATCATGTCTTATCCACAATATCAAAGCCTGGGTTCAGTTTTCTTCAGATGGCTACGAAGGTTAAGTTATATTTAGACAACATACTTGTCCGTCTTCTATAAAGTAAAAGAAAAAGAATCTTTGAGACCATTGTGATGGATGCCAACACTTCCTGAGAATTCCCTCAACATCATGTTTATAACTAGTGTCAGGGGAAACTACTCTACAAGTCCTCAAGATGACAGCAACTTCTCATTCTTTCTCCACCTTTCCTTTTCCACTTGCAATTTTCTTGTTTTCTTGCAATTGCACCATTATCACACCTTGTGCGATGCATGAAGGCTCAAGAAAATTGGATATGTGTAAAAGGAATTAGTATGACAAGGAAGATCCATTTTTTAGGCCAAGAAAAGTGGCCTAAAAAATATCCAAGTTGGGCTGTAGGACGAACTGCTGCTGCCTAATTTATCGCATGTGAACAAGTATAGACCATCAAAGCAGAAATTTACTTTACCATATAGACAGCATAAAAGAAATTTACGAGATTAAGATGCATCATACTCAAAAGTCAAAAGGACTAATAAGTTTGTTGCTTACATAATTCTCATGAAGGAAAAAAGTTCATACGATAATCATTATAAACAAGAAATCAAAGAAGAACTTAGATTGGTCAAGTTTCGAAATCATGAAGCATACCCCAAGCCACTGTGCACTCTTCACTCGTCGCACTCGCCTGATTAGCCTGGCACTCGATGCCTGCAAAGATGTTTCAGGACCAAGAATGTCAAAGCCAGAACAAACAGATCAGAAACCCTAACGCTAGCGCACGAAAAATCAGTAACCAAGACAGACAATTAAGAAATCATAGAAGGGGAAAGACAGCTCACAGAGGTCCATGATGTGGTTCCTACAAATAGCGCAGTTATCCACCACGATATCTGCAACGATCGCATCAAATGGGTGCATCAATCGATGAGATCCACGGATAAAGAACCAAGATTCGAAACCCTAAAACTGCTACGAGGGTGTGGCGATCGGGCACATACCCCAGGCCCAAAGCGCGACGGCGTTCCACTTCTTGATCTCGAACCTCTTGGGTTTCTTCGAGGAGGAGGGCCCGGCGCTGGACCCCTCGCCGGCAGGAACCATGTTGACGTCGGTGTCGAGGGAAGCCATGGATCAAGGTGAGAGAGTAAGGCGGAGAGACGAGGGTTCGGGACAGCGAAGACGGGAAGATATTTGTAGTAGCCTATGAGGAGCTTTGAGACGGACGCCCGTGTCGGAAGAATCTCATACCGTCCATTATTAACTTCCCGTATTTTTCCGGTTGGGCAGGAAAACATTGAGCAAAATCTTTTTTATTATTAAATTAGTTTTGGTGTATTATTATGCTTGTAAGAATTTAAGAGTACTAAAAATTAATTTAATGAATTTGGATTTAAAACATACTTAATGACCACTATGTATTATAATATATATTTTATAATGATCGTTGATTACATACGATTAAGTTTTTTTAATAATAATAATAATAACATATTTCTTTTATATGTTATGTTGACGTGACATGATTAATTAATTGATACGATGCATCTTCGAATCGAAAAGAACGATCATATCAATCAATGGTAAAGCAAATCCACGTGAAACACCCCAAGGTTGTCCATCAAGAACTTGGTTTGGCTTTGATTGCTTGCTGCCTCGGACACCCAACCTCTACGATGTCATCATCTTTAATGGCACGAGAAAGCAGAGCAAGAGAATCCTTGGTGATCGAGCTTATTACTCATAAATTTTCATGTTGATGTTGCAACAACCATTAGGTGTTTCCAATTCTTGACACCCTACATAGCACAAACCCTTCTGTGTTTCCAATTCTTGAAATGCTGTGTTCAGAACGGCAAAGAGAAGTTCCACCTCAAATGAACATAATAATTTTCAAGTGTCTTACGAAGAGATCAAAAACTACGACAATTAACTTAACAGGCCAAACAAATAATTAAGTGCTCAATGATGAATAACCATGAAACATCTTTCTTTTCCAAAACAGTTCAGAAATTGCTCAGAGTCGCTAAATATGAATTAAACAAAAGGCCGACTGGTCTCATCTAGAAACTCAAAGTAAAGCATTACGATCGAGGTTTCTCCTTCTTTTCCTTGAACAGTGCCAAAAGGGAGACACCAGACACCTTCACAACCTTAAACCTTACTCCAGGAATATCACCGACTGCATGGCCCTTACGCCCGAACCCGGCAATCAACACTTCATCCTGCAAAAGCAATGCAGTTCAATAACAATTTATAGATGAAGAGGTGATCGATCAAAGATTATGACGAGGAAGTGCCATGATCATGGGGTGTGCAGGCTGTTCAAAGCAGGTCCCGATACAGGCTTCGTGCCATGCTGAGAGTGTGCATATACACCCCAGGCAATGTGATCATTGTCAGTTGGCATGAAACCCTAGCAGTACCATGCTGATTGGTTAATACCAGTCCGAGCAAGACCAGCCCGATACCAGCTCTCATGATTAAATCCTTATAAGTGCATTAGATCATTCCTCTGGAGAGCTCAATGACGTTTAAAATATCGAAATATAAAACTTACATTTTCTTCTATGAAATTTAAGCAACCATCATTTGGAACAAAGGCCGCAATTTTCTTCCCATTCTTTATCAGCTGAACTCTAGCACACTTTCGGATAGCAGAATTTGGCTGCTTAGCTTCAATACCTCTGCAAGATGCAATCAATGTCAGCCTTCCAAACACGAGCAACGTCAAAGTGAAAGAAAAGGAAAAAAGAATAGCAATTAGCTTGGCATACATCTTCTCAAGGACGATACCCTTGGCATGTGAAGAACCAGCGAAGGGTTTCTTCCACTCATTGCCAAGGTGACTTTTCTTGTATGCTTTGTCTGCCCATCTCTGCCTCCTCCTGTGAGTTTTGAGCTTACGCCCAGCTCCCATACCACGAGTCTTCCTGTACAAGAGCCTCTGATTAAAATCATTCATCTTCAATCAAAAAATTTCTTGATATGATATCTTTACTTTGAGAGGTGTGATAGAAACTTGGTTTGCATTTCTTATCATATGTGTTACAAGTATAATAGTCAGGCACCACGAACTAATGAATTTGCTATGACACTTGGAAGCCAAAAAGAAATCCTTTCTACAGATAGTATGCTTCCTAATCAAGATCTAAACTAGAACAGTGCCTTTCTTAAACACAAACTTATAAGGTACTCATAATTGAATTAGCTGGTTATGTCATAGATAACTACATTTCATCTTCACAATTAAATGACACTGAATTAACAAATGCAACACCATTGTTTTTTGTTCTAACATGTTCAAACCAGAGGGATAAGAAAACACATAATTTGATTCATATAAAGATAGGTAGTGCCAAGTAGTCGAATACTGATTACAACTCATACGAACCCAAGAAAATTGGTGTAAGGCTGCAGTAAACAAAACAAAGAAAGGAAACAAAACATTCATTTCTTACATATGCTGCTAAGTTGCAGTAAGAAAAAGTGAGATAAGCAACCAAGAATTTTAAGGTAGGAAAGAAGTATATAAATGACACACACACACACACACACTAACTTGAACCATGAAACACATACATCACAAGATAATCCAAAAGAAAATGCTTATCCACAATGTGCGGAAAAGATACTCGTTTTTGTTGTTACACCAAAATGTTCCAGACCAAAGTGTGGAAATCCCTCCACATGAGCTGGTCCATAGCGATAGTAGTCAGTCAAGCGATAGTATAAACTACAAACCCTTAACAACAACTTAGGTAAAATGCAACATGATGCGTGCCCAAGTATAATGATTAACTTGGGCATAATAAAAGGTTTGCTGAGTACCAATTCAACAACTATAAAATCTAAGCATAGATGAAAACTTCTATACCCATACTTGGCAAAATAAGTTTATTTTTTGAGTCATCAGAACAAAAATTATAGCTCTCAACAATATCCAGTTTTAAAGCATCCTCCTCATCCAATTCTATGAACATTATACGATTCGGATTCCCAAGACAACAAATCAATGTCATTTTCTTCTTCGGTCCTCTCATATAATTGCCCAAATCAATGAAATCAACCGATCGAAGTTGAAATTTCTAATCATGAACCGCCAAGAAAAGGATCCACCCTCCATAAGAGAAACAGGTAAAAGAATCAAGAACGATCAGCTCGAAACAAGATGGACATAACAAAATCCAGCCACCGGAGCGACCGTTCAAACGTAACATTAGAAAGCGACTAAAGAAGTAAGAGCAAATAACGCGATCAGGTTCTCCGGCAAACTCACCCCATCTTGTTGGAAACCGAAGCTCGCCTTCCTCTCGCGCTCTGTGCGACCGCGGGCTGCGACGGATGGAGGAGCGGCGGAGAAGGACATAAACCCTAGTCGCGCTCTGTTTTATAGAGGCGAGGATAGGGTGGACTTGAACCGTCAATGAGCCGGGCTTGGTCCGAGAAATAAATTGCCCGGCCCGGTCCGGTCCGGTCCGATTTCACATCGTTTGTGTGTCTCATGTAGACGTCATCTAATCGAATGTCGACCACATGACTCAGTTTAGTGTTGTTATATTGAAAGTGAATAAAGATTTAGATTATTAATAGATTAATTGTATTGCGGATTGGAATTCTTCGGGTGGAGGTAAAGTTAAGTCGATATATTTACTTAGATGTTTGAAGTGGATGGGTTTCCCCTCGCGTAGTTTCTCGGACATACCAATCTTTCAAAGCACCACATAAAACAGGAATCAGATGCAAACCCTATTACAAAGGTTACTTTGGATCAGCTGCTGCTCGCAGCTATATAATGGACGATTGAGGCACCTTTGGATCATCTTTACCCTTTCTCGTGTCTTGATATCTTTCTCCGTTACCTTTCAACTTAACGAGCTTCACAGCTCTCATGGCCGACCGACCAAAATGGCAGCAGCCATTTCGCTTACGGTTCCCACATTGGAATCCACCGTCGAAAGCTCCACCTCCGACTCAACCGCCGGGAACATCAGCTTCGCCGCCTTCACGAGTGATTCTAAGACAACAACGACAGCAACAACCATCTCCCTCTACAAGGAGTCTTTCTCGTTCGTCAAGCTCGTCGTCTCCACCGGTATCGAGAACAGAAGCTCCAGCACCTCCACCGGCTATATCTACATCCTCATCTCACGGTGTTCCCCAGCCACAACAATGGCCTGAGGAAGCTTCCTCTACATCCCCATCTCCAGCTCAAGGTGTTCCCCAGCCACACCAAGCACCGTCAACTCAGGAAGCAGCTTCCATGTCTCCATCTCCTTCTCGAGATACTCCCCGGCCACCACAACCATCATCAACTCAGCAAGCCATCCATACCCCGAACTCTGAATCTGTAATAGAACCCCTCGATCCTATCAGCAGAGCAAACCCAAACGAAACAGATTTATCTGAACAGAAACCAGAAATGGACACCGAACCAAAAGAAACTACGAATCCCTCTAACCTTCCACAAGCCACAGAACTGACTCAATCCCAACAAAAGCTGGTGGAAGGAAATCCTACGGAGGACGATGAAGAGAATACAAATATAGAAATCGAAATCACAGAGGAGATGACTCCCATCGTCCTAGAAACAGAGTCGCCGTATGCCTCGACTGAAGAACCAAAGAACAAATCGGAACCTGATCCAGGGCCGACGGAGACGAGAGACTCGAGGACGCAGGAAGATACGAATGGCTTAGGAGGGAAAGGAAACACGGATGCCCCGCCAGCTTCACCAACCACTGAAGCAGATAATTTGCAGACCCAGAAGGTGAACAGTGGGCACTCACAGCATGCAGGAAGAAGAAACATAGAGTTAGCTGGTAAGAATCAAGGTGCATCGATGTGCGTCGGACCTGAGACAATAAGCACGCCAGACCTGCAGAAGGTAAACAAGATCGACATGCACACGAGTGCAGACATCGATCGTAAGAGTCAAACTCTCGGAGAGAGATCACATCAGACAGGTGATGAGGTTCCATCCATCACAAGCGTTAATAGCAACGTGCAGTGCATAAACAACTCTATACTCCATGAGAGCTCCTGTAGCCAAAAAGATCCAGGAGTTTACTTCTTCTTCTATAGCAAACCAGCATTCAATACTCGAGGAGTTTCTCTTATCACAACTCCAGCTCAAAGTCTCACCTATCAGCCACATATCGAGAAGAAACAAACCAGATCTGTGGAAGAGAAATCTCAAATGTCACATTGCTCAGCTTGACTTTGGTGCGCAGAAGATCCACCATTGACATGCTTTAGAATGTACGATGAAATTGTGTTGGAAAATGGTCGTTCATGCACTCGACTGTGATTGTAAGGAAGAGCTTAATGATTCATGTTCAAATAATTATGACAGTGCACACACGAGGCTCTTTAAGAAATATACAACATAATGTATACTATGTTTGGAGATAACAAAGTGGTATCTCTGTACTTTCACCAATTCATTCACATGATGGCTTCATGCAAAGCTGGTCAAGCAGACTGCGATTGCAGCAATCTGTAACCTTCTGTTCATCCGACTGCCTTCCGAGTGTAGCAGTAAGTCATCGATCGATATGATTCGACAGCATAATTAATCTATTAAATCTATAAGTCTGAATCATTCACAGAAAAAATATTTAAATTTAAATTCATGCCTCTACTCATTTTTTAATAAAATTAGAGAGATATCATATATATATATATATAAGTAATCAACGGTTTGTCATTTGACTCTTTCTCAATATGTTGACATCCTTATCTAAGTCAGTCGATATATTACATCGGATTCGACTCTACAAAACTAACAAAGTGGCATCGACGAGAATGTCGATCTAGCTTGACGATGTTGGTCATATAACTCGGTGATAAAATTAACTTGGCAAGTCATTACTTTATATCATGCATAATTTTACGATATATTGATAGTCTAATAACGCAAGTAATCATTATCAATATTTATCTATCGCACATTCTTGATTACTAACGATTAATGATAAAATAAATTTATTTTAGTGCTAAACCTCCAACCCTCCTAATATCTCAACACGAGACAAACTAGGAAGTGAACGTCACAACCTCTCTACTTAGCACGAACAACTAATATTTATCCTAATGCCAAAACCGACACATCAATCCACTTAATCTAAACCGTCGAATAAAAATATTTAATTATAAATTAATGATACAAAATCCATATGAAATTTCGTAAATTAAATCAAAATTGGTATTTTTAATAGGAAAAATAAATTTAAGATGGTGCAACCTCGGCAAGACAGGCTACACTGTGCCTTGGATCAACAAGGACGAGGAGATAATTGTGTGTGTGTGTGTGTGTGCGCTGTCGGGAAGACGAGGACGACAACAACGGAGATGTTTCTTGCCACCGCGTCGACACGCAGAGATTTGCCACTGCTTCCATAATTGCATCGACTCATGTGGCTCCATCAGTTGCAGGTACGACCTCCTCTCTCTCTCTCTCTCTCTCTCTCTCTCACTCTTCCGGTTTCGACTAAAGTGAAGCAGAGAGAGGTGGGAGAAGATTGATTGCGGAGGTGAGATTGTCGTCAACAACAGTGATCACTGTTCTCCGTCAGTTGCTCCAATCAACTGCATTTACCAAGAGACTGTCAACAGTGAGGTCGCAGAGAACATGTCAGGGGGCTATGATGGAGCATATCCAAATGACACGCTCCTTGCAACTTGAATCAGCAATGATGTGATACCCTTTGGGATCCACAAGGGGTCACAGGAAAGAAAGCTTGGATGGCTTTTGCTTTCGGCTCTCTGGTGGAGCAGATGAGACCCTCCCTACCCAAGAAGATGGAATCATGCGGTTCTTCTCGGTTAGGTTTCTTTTACGTTACGTAGGAGGCTACACCATTCTTTTTTATCTCGTTCATCGACAAATCCCAGTGCTGCACATCTTTTAGGGAGCTTTTTTGTGTTCCTCGATGATTACTGAGTGGGGCTGATCTCACGTTGTCTTCGTTTTGCTTTATAGATATAAAAAAAGGTGGAAGAGAGAAGTGCAACAATTCATTGTAATGTTGATAGAGCACAAAAATCAGCTCTCCTTCTCATATTTAAGCCCATCCACCATGCAAGTTCGTCTTGACAAAATACCTTTGCTAGATTGGATGCTAATTTATAATCAATCATTTTTCTTTTTCTTTTTTTGCAGTCTCAATTCTTGTATAATAACCCCGAGTGTATCGAACCCACGAGTATTTCTAACAAATATTCTTCCGATGCTTATGTTAGTCGGAAGTTCGAAAGGTTTAAAATAAAATTTTAAATTATATTCATGTGTTTGAGGAATATACTTATTGAGTATTTTTATGGGTAACAATTACATAGTCCTCTCTCGACTTTGTCTGTGATCATCCCATGCCGAGTCCAATAATATGATACGATGTTTTAACTAGTTAAACTACGTATTATCAAGACATCATCCTATATGGTCATGACCAGAGGTATTGGATTACGTAATGTTAATGTTAATCGTGTTATTTATCTTATATCGATATTTAATTATTATTTTTCTTTTTACCTAAGTCGTGGTTACGTTTTGGTCCGAATCTAAATTGAACCGATTAAAAATTAAAATTAAAAACAGAGAACATAAAATATGGTAAGACGATATAAATTTCCTATTGTGTATAGATCTTAACTAGTGCTAATTAAAATATGGGGAGGTTGCAACAATTATTGCAGCACAAATTTGTCTTTGTTCAATCACATTGGATGATGGTGCGGTGCTCCAACAGCAGACTAAAAAGATTGGGAGTGTCTCCTCCACCCACCTTTCTTCCACATATGCCAAGCTCAAAATGGCATGGGCACATGAACAGGTGAGTGCTGCTACATACAGTCAAAGTTTGAAGAAAAAGAGATCATAGGAAGAGGAAGAAAAGCACTTTATTAGACCACTGCAATAATGGTCAGATGTTGCAACCATTGGACCCATTTGCTCAGACACAAAAGACCAGACTCTGAAATCATGCTGTGAATGATTAATGGATGGATGATGGTAGTTTAGGCAGGCATTCAACATTCAATCAGTGACACTTTCTCTGATCACTTTTGTCATTGCCTACACAACAATCTTCTATTCCATCACCAAATGGTTGAGGAAATGCCTCATTTTTATTATAATAAACTATTCAGTATAGATTATCTTTTTTATTTATATAGATATATCTATAAGAAAAAAACCTAATTTCTTACAAGTAAATAGAAGAATGTAAGATCTATCTGAATCGCTAAAATAGAACCATTATTACCTAAGAATGAAACCGAGTCATTCAATTCCCTTTAGTCGCTCAAAGCCAAGAATCAATCTCATGGCAGACAAGAAGAATAATAGCAATTTTGAAGGATATTATTATTATATTA